TTAGTGGAAAGACACTTAATTGAAATTAGACACCTTAGACCACCTCAAGTTTAACCTAATGTGCAGGCATCCTAGATTTTAGAACACAACTTAAGAGATAGTTTTATCATTCTAATTTTCAAATGACCCTAAGAAATCCAAACATCTAACCTTAATTTAGGAGATAAGTAGGACACTAGGCACGAGGGTGCACTAGATTGTGACTCATGACTGATTTAATTAAATCAAATAATGAAATTCTTACCTTAACTTGACTAAAACTGAAACCCAATGCTCCGGGATTTGAGTTTGTCCTACACTCAAATCCTCCTGGCAATTGGGGACATTCCAATATCACATATAAATTTCCTATTCTTGGTCCTTTATATGTGATATGATATTTCATTTTATTTGTTTATCTTTTCTCTGCAATTTACTTGTTTCTGTTAAGTCTTTTTCAGGTCATAATTCCCTCTTTTACACAACACATAATAGCTAAATTTAAAGGAGCAATGAACCTCTCAGGTGTACAGGTTTAATTTACATTACAACATTTTATTGTAAAGCATGTTATATTATTTTCATAGCATGTTATACTACTTCCCTAGCATGTTATGTTCTTTTCTCAGCATGTTATATTATTTTCATAGTCTGTTATACTACTTCCCTAGCATGTTATGTTATTCTCTCAGCATGTTATATTGTCTTTTCTCTTTACTATACAGTGCATTGTTACTTTTCTTTCACGTTGCATACTTAGTTACTTTGATACACTATGCCTTAGATTAGGATAATCTAGTGGTTAGGCGTATTTTCAAAACTAAAACTAAACCTGGAGTTGCTACTACGAGAGGCTCGGAGCAAACATCGTGGGTAGCACGGCAAGGGATAACTTCAAGATGAATCTGCAGCAACGAAATATTTTCATATCACATGAGCACATTCACATCACCTATTATTATCTTTAGTTTAAATAACAACCCATATGATCATTCTTTAGGCTTTTTGTACAACTTTGTTGTGCAATTACAAGTCCTAACGTTTTAGGATTCTGAGGTTACCGTACGGTACAGTGTAAATCCTCCTGTCTTTTAGGCTATTTGCACAGTCCGACGTTGTGCAAACATAAGTCCTAAATCTTAAATAATTTGCAGGATTGAAATATCAAATAAACATCATTTCAAAGACATAAAGTCGAATATTATGATAGTTGGGACATCACTGGGGTTTTCTCTAGATCTGTGATATCCCCTACTTTTCTTCTATTTGGATTCCTTAAATAATTGTTCACATTTTGAATCATTCCCATTTGATTTTCCCATGTCCAATCGTGAAAGCCTAAACTTTGAAATCTTGAAAACAAAACCACCTGATCTTAATCGAGAGTTTTCTTAAATGACTCCCAGTTATTTAAGATATAATTAACTATAGGGGCTTGCCTCTATGGGGAATCAGGAACCCAGATAAAATAAACCCTATTTAATTTTTATGTTAGATAGGGGAACTTGTTGGCCTTTTTATAAAAATATTTCGCAGACCAAACGGATGTCACAAATTGT